TGAGCTTGTCGGAAGAATATTTTTCATGAGAGCATAGGAGGATTTGAATTCATCGCGTGTATAGCAAATGAAGCGTGAACTGAAAAGCTAGGAAGCACTCACTGGACAGCTGTTTCGACCTGGTCGCGTCTCATGAGCAGCAGTGCGAATCTATCGACCCAACTAGGGGTCGAACCCGGGATCTCAAAGGTAGAACGCAAGCATGTAACCCACTCGGCCACCGGGAAGCTGACCGATAGGTTCGCACTGATGATGAGATCCAACCAGGTCGAAAAAACTGTCTACTGCTTCTTAGCTTTTCAGTTCACGCTTCATTTGCCCTATAAACGACGAATTCCCTCTTTGAAATATTTCTTATATACGGAACCTTTCGAGTACAATGAGACAAACCGTTTTTGAATGTGTTCATTCTTCGCCGACAACATACTCAATTAACAAACCAAGTAAGTTCCGGCTGTCCGTTGACATTACCAGAATGCAAATCGTCGGCATGAATCCACCTGTGAGCAAATCTAGCAATTTATAAGGCTTATTACATACTTGATGAATCAAACACGCTTGTCCAGTAGTTAGCACGAGATCTGGAAACCGTGATAGCTACTGTGTACTACGCGCAAATGGTGCTGGACGCATCACATGAAAAGGAGTTTAAAATATGGAAAGAAAAAGCATCATTCCTGATCTGAAATCCATCTCCTCCAATTAATTCCAACAACCATAAACGGGACCACCGTGCGTTTTTTGGATAACATTTTAGAACTGCACAAAAATAACTCCTCCACGGCTTAGATACTCACTCTGTTCCAATCTACCACATTTGATGGACGTCGTATTGTTCTGGAAGTGCACAAAAGCAATCTGCGACATTTTTGTTATTAATTTATACTATATTTACCTACTTGCTGTTGTTGATCCTCACTGAATCATCTTTCGCTCCTGACAGAAGATGGCCGCTAGGGTCGGTTCTTACAGTTAATCTATTTCGTGGATTCATCAAGCTAGTTATGCGCGGGCAAATGATATTAGTGTAACACAGCGGATCTGAAATCATCATAGGTCTGGACCGCTTCATTGGTAAAATAGTCAGATACCAAGAAAACCATTCTCGTTTTCGAGTCAACGGTAGATTGACAGACTAAGGCAGCAAACCCTTCAGAATTTACAGATACATCGCAGGATTTGGTTACCTGAACCGGTTTAGCTTTTAGACCAAACGAAGAGATTTCACCGGAGACCGATGGCTCTCAGTAGGCAGTGTGTCGCCAATGAAGCTTTTCGGCTTGAGTTTCGACCCACCCAGTCGATCTTCGTTTGCGAGTGCAACGAAATGCAACAAGTTCGAAACCTACCTTATGTTCACTCTAAGAACGTTGGAACACAGATGGTGTAAAGACCAATTGACTAATGAGGTAAGCGGGACAAATGCGGTTCCTCTCCACGGTGTTTCGACCTCAAATCAAACTTTTTCACGGGTCGAACACATTCTTACCGACCGATCTGACTTCCAGAGCTGCTGTGTTGAATGACTTGTGTGTAACTACTACTGCACTATAGTGCAACTTTGACAACCATGAACCATGCAATTTCGTGCGTACGGTTTCGTTGCTGTTCTAAGGATGAAGTGAAAGAAAGTTTGGAGGGTTGTAGACAGTGCCCGGGAGAATTCAGGCAGGCTAAGATATGTAAGAGACTGCTTACGGCAATCAGCCATATGGCACAGCAAACCTAACCGTTGAGTGGGATGATCCCGAATTCGCCATCCAAACAGCCTAACGCGACCTATGCGACCAAGTCTCCTCATCAAGGTTTTCATACCTTCATACCAGGTCCTCGCTGGTGCACCGCTGACTTTTCTCCATCCGCCAACAAGGAAACCGAAACAAGGCCTAACGGGGAGGGGTGGACTGGACCAAGAGGAAACAAATATGAACGACCATCGTTACACGATTGAAGGCTTAACTTTGGTAGAATCGCTGCCGTCACTCATTTTATTACCACCGATCAAGGTGCCTCGACTTCATGAATTATTCTTATGTTACAAATGCACTTCGCAAGTCGTTGTTATACCGGTTGGTTTATTCACAATCAACCACATGTAAGCCGCGGTTGATTCCCAAAGGACCAAGTAATCGCCGAAGAAAAAATAACAGGCAGCCTTGAGCAAAACCGGTTTTGTGGGAAAATATCCTCGTCCGTTTGAAATACCAGTATGCCACATTTAACTGAACTAATCGGTTGAGATACACTCCACCTGACCATACCGGGACAGTAAACGTCCAGCACGCCAACCTAGGAAGATTAACAATGTATCGTCCTGCTCTCCCCAATTGCCAACCGAGCCGCCATCACTATTATGGTATGCTAACAAATATATCAAGACCTGCTCTGAACTGCAAATTCCTGAACGTAGTTTTTCATCCCATGGCATCCAATCTCATTCCGATAGACAACAGAGAACGCGGATACTCATCACGGGCGTTAAAACACTTGGCGACTGTTTCACCAGCCTTTCCGCTATACATGCACAATCGAGTGTAGACAGTTGAGGTGAGAACTTCCAATACTGTCAGGTCACAAATTTGAATAAGCGCGGTGGATAGGACTCTATCATTTTGTCAGGATGTTTCATGCGCAGAACCCGACCACCTACCCACCCACCCTCTCTCCATTCACAGACCTACCTCAGATAATTCAATAATATATGATACATTATAGGGTAGGACACTGCAACGCACCGGCCCCGTGAAAAAACACGAATTTCACACATTGACACAGAGCCGATGAAACCTGTGAAG